CTCATGACATTAGATGAGAAATGAAATGCTGACCGTGGATTCGTTCACGTGGCCCCAGACACGGGAACTGTCTTGTTTTCGTGAAGTGGCAGGTTCATTTTAAGGTAATACTGTATAAACCTAAATAGTTTGCTGAGCAGCCACGGGGAGGTGCAGAGCTATCTTTTCTCAGGCTTGGCAACCCTCACTGAAGATTTTCCAAGAAAAAAGGTGACGTGCAGAAAGCCCAAGACCTGGAAATGTGTCATGTTTCAAAAAATCGTGCTGTCTTCTGAAACTCTTCCCCTCCTTTAGCTCAGTATTTGAAGACTCTTTATGGAGCTTAGTCACCACATGCACAAGCGCATGCCTGTGTAAGTGCGCATGCGCACAACCATGGGTGCCGTTATCCTCTGGGACTCTTCACCTTCTCCTACCCAACTCAGAGAAAGCAAGATACTGATTCTCATGAAAAATCATATAAATATAAAGCTACTGCTCTGTAGATATACAGCCAGTTCATTTCCAAACAGATATGAAGCCTTCTCTAAATGGGTAGGGGTCTGCCATCTACTATACATTGACACTGTGTGACAACTGTTATTGAAATAAACGAATTTTCTTGAAAAATATTTGTGAGGAAAAAATAACAGTATTGAGAAAACAACATAATTCAGTACATATAATCACCCCATAAATAGTGAAGAAATGCATTATAACAATAGTCAATTTAAAATACTGACTTGTGACAAAATAAGCCAGGAATGAAATATGTGGTTATGTCTATTACTGCCTTCTAGAAATGATGACTACTCTAGGAGGCTTTCGTGTGATGACTTGAAAGAAAAGCTACAACTTGCTAAAACACATACACATAAACAAAGTATGGTTGTCAAAGACAGATAAAATGAATGTCTTGTCTATCTTTAGACCTGCTTTAAATTGAAAACCCAGAAAGTGAAATCAGACATTGGTTAAATACCGCTGCACTTCCTTCATATTCTGCAGTGTGCCCGAGCGTACTCGGCATGATACACCGTGGCGAGTCCTACTCCAGCTCTGAGCAGCACTCCGCTTGCCTCCCCATTTTCCTCGGCTACTCTCAGAACTGCACACAGGCTGGACTAACATCACTATGATCAATCGACCTTCGGGAAAAGAAAAAATCCAAAAGCCTGTAGGATGCCTTACTAGAGTTTAAAACTCAGACCCTGAAGTGACAAAAGAAGTAATCTGTGCTGTCAGTAATTACTTGTACCTTTAAGAAGAAGTAGCACACTTAAGAAAGGACTGAAGCATCTGGTACAGGGGAAAAAGTTGGGATTAATTTTACCTACCAAAATGCTGCAGGATTTGGGTAGAGACACAGAATATGGAAAAATGTTTTTCTTGTTCCTTTGGTTTAATGCATCAATTACTGAAGAATTAAAAAACTGCTTCAAGTATGACTGAAGAACTCTAAGATCAAAGTAGTTATCTATACGTCCTCCATAAATAGCATTTTCAAGTAAGCCATGTACGAATTCCCATTGTATATCTTTGGAACCTGCAGTTTAAAAACAGGTTTATTGATTTCATTTCTAACATTCCTGTATTGACTAAATTATGAACTCTGGCTACATTTATGAAATGGTAATATATATATTTAACAACAATTAAATCATTCCTTAAGTGATCAATACTAACAGTAGGTGATATATTTTCGAAGTATTTAATCAAGTAAGAGTTTCCAAATATTTTGCATTTATAAACTCTTCATAGCAAATAGAAATACTAGTATCAGCCATAGGTGGAAAAATTGATATTTAAGAAGTTTTAGTCATGAAAACATAGAAAGAGTTCATACGGTACCACAGATCTGGATTAGAAAAGAGGCATTACAAACCAAGGATCACCCTTTTCCTCAGTAAATAACACCTTTATCAAACCTAGTCTCCAACAGGTCATAATTTACATAGCCAAGTATCCATTTTCTATTTTACAAGGTAAACTGTAGTGTAAAAATAAAACAGGCTGAACACAGGGTAATCCCAGCAGGGACATCAGAAAGTCAAATCCAGCTTGGAGAACTCAGTGACTTAGAAAAACCACATCTCAAGATAAAAAGGGAGGCCCTAAGGTCCTGGATTCAATGCTCAGTACCCCTGAGAAACATTCCCAAACTCACCTGCAATGGGACATTTTTCTGCAAGATATTATGTCACTTTGCAACAGAGACATTTGATAATAATGCTAAGTAAAATAAATTAATCTCAGATCTTTAATAAATATAGGAAACATGAACAGTGTCTGTAGGAAGCCTAGCTATATTTACACTAGGTAATCTTTTCTTAGCATTACTGATATAGTTCTATTTCACCACAATAAAATTTCAAAATAATTACAAAACTTGATAGTTGACATTGACACACTGTGTTTTGAAGCTTATATAATGCATCCTGTCTCCTGCATAAGGGTACCTATAGCATGCAGAAATAAAGCTGTTCAATTCTTATGTCTTACTGTCAACAGTGGCTAACTAGCAGGTGACTTCGCCAAAATTCAATTTTCTCCATCTACCTTGATATTAACTGAATGATAAATTAGTAATGAATATGGAAGTCATTGCTAAGTACGTTAGCATAATATACAAAAGCCATAGTATAATTTTAATTTATAAAATAGAAATAACATTATAAGAATTATACAGAAAATTTACAAGAAAAATCTTTTCTTCTTATTCGCAAATTTTATAAATACAAAAGCAAAAAGAACAAATATCAAATTAGTAATAGGCTAACAACTGAAATACACAACACATTAAATATCTTAACTTTTAAATATGCCATGTCTCTTAATGAATAGAGGGATTTGTTCTAATGGTGTTTGTAAATAGGATATCATGTCCACATCTTGTACAATTAACCACTAGGAAGAACGTATGCAATGTGTAAATTATTGAAACTGTCCTACCAATTTGGTTTGAAACTGTCTCATTGCTATTTGTTTCTCAATAAAATTATGGAGGAAAAAAAAAAGAAAAAACTATGCCATGCCTGTTTTCATTTAAATGCCATACAACTGAGCAAAAAAGAACCAAGTGTCATTTTCATTTCACAGATCTAGAAACAGAGGCTTAAGGGTAGGCAACTTGCTGCCAGGTCAAAGGGCTACTAACCTTTATCCGATTCTGCAATGGGACTTTTTCTCTTTTTTTAATTTAATTGTAAATACACTGAGTCCCCTCATATCACGAAATTTTAATCATGTCTTTCCATAAACCTCAATATTTCATTTTAAAGTATCTGCCTTTCACAACTCCCTCACACCTCTGAGGTGCACTGATAAATTCTTTATGCTTTGGTGCCTTCACCTAGAGAACAACTCTAATAATGTTTCCTTTAAGCGGGATTATAAGAACCTACTAAATATTCAAATGCATTTCATAAAACTATCCTAGTGCAGCAATGGTGAACTTGTTAGAGATGAAAGCCTAAACCGCACCCAAAACCCACTTCTTTATTGCAAAGTGTAAACACTGCAACCAAACCTGAATACTGAGGATTTAGCTTAGAAAAAACAACTCATACGTTAACATCTTTTGCCTTAAAAGAAAAACAAGCGGCGCTTGTGCCATGGGTACACCACCACCGCACTCCTGCATGTCCTTTCCAAACGTCAGTTAAACATAATAAACGACAGATTACGAGAGCCCGAATTGAGTTACCCTTCCATGAAGCAGGGAAACGCTGGGTCATACAGACAGGTAGAGGGCAGATGCTCTCTGGAATGACAGCAATTTTCTGTTTTTATTTCAGGCCAGTTACTTAGGTACAATTTATGCAAATGCACTGAGTGTTTATGCACACTTTTCTGATGTACAGTTTGGAAAATTTTTAATTAAAAATTCTCCTTAATTACGATTTGGCGTTAACTAAGAACTGAACAAACAAACCATGACGCAGCAGCTCTCCCTTTCCATACACACTCCACAGAGACGCACTCACGTACTCCCTAAAGCTACAGCGTTATTACTATTACTCCCAATCACCCGAAACTAAAATCTAGCCACAGGCCCATCCACGTAAGGGTCTGGAGCCACAAAACGGCACACCGAACAGACATGGGAATTTCCTACAGCTGTCTGCAGCCACTCCCGATCGCACGCAGTGTCCCAGCTGAGACACATATGCTGTGAAACTCCAGTTTTACGAAGCAGAGAAGTCGGGGCTGGTGGTGCTGGAGCGCAGCCGCACAGGTACGACCCTGATGACAAGCATGTTCAGCTGCTTCACTAAGTTGCTATCCACAGATGTCTCCAGCTTGTGAAATTCTCTCAGGCTACGCAGGCTCCGTAGGCTACAATCTTGCAAGTCCTTCTCAGACTCACACTATGCTTCACTAAGAAATTTAACTTCCCAAACATGAAGACCGAACTGGAACCTGGCCACAACCTGGCTGCCAATCCCCATCCTACGCCAGACACGAGCTACAGAAAAAATGCTGATGTCTATGATTCTCTTAAAGACATTAAGGATACGTAGATAACAAAACAAAGACCTTGCTTGAGTGTAGATTATAATATAGTGAGAGGAGAAAAAAATAGGAAAATATCATTATGCTAATGTATTAAAATAAAACAATGAGAAAATTTTAAAAAACATTGTATATTCTATATTTGGTGCTACAAAGTTTTTCTAAAAAAGAAACTTTTAAACAAGGATCTAACTGATAGAAGAAGCAAGCACAGAAAAGCGTGGAAGAAAAGCATTTCAGACAAGGAAGAACACCTACCAAAACCTATGAGGAGGAGAAAGCCTAGTTTGTTGAGGATCGAAAGGCAAGAGTGGTTGTACGTAAGAAAATGATGTGATTTGGTTTTCTTTTCTAGAACAAAAACTAGTTTATAGTAAGGAAAGTATTTCAAAATGTGCTAACATAGAATTACTACTGATTTAAGACTTTAATGAAATTGAAAAGAACAGAACAGAATTAAGATATGGCTAATAGAAGGCACAGAGATGCCAAAGCACTGGCCAACTGAGGTTGAGAAAAGTAAAATCCAGGGTGCCTTGCTGGCTTTGAGCCTGGAAAACTACATGAAGGTGATGTTATCGAGCCAGAGATCAGTTACTTGGCCAGAGTCCAGTCGGAAGTTAGTAATTTAGAGTATCCTTTGTAATGAGCAAGTTGGCTGGTGGGATCCACTGGCCTGTAAGAGACCAGAGCTTGACGGCCCAAGGGGATCAAATGACAAGCTCGTGCTGGTGCGCTATTTCAGTGTGTTATTAGCACCTTCATTGCAACTTAAAAATTCACCTGAGGCTACAGTGCTTGGTACCGACCCTTGGTACTGCTATACTCTTGAAGGCTAACAGTTCCCTTGAAAGAGATTTGAAAAATTAAGGTGAAGCCTCAAATTTTTGAAGACCACAAAGTGAAGACAAGTCTTTCCAGTCTCATGCTTCCTAAGAGCTAATTAATTGACCAGAAATTTAATTTCATTTGGTTACACCAAAACCAATGTCTACAATATAAAAATGCTCAGATAAGCCAGACATGATAGTTAAGATATAAGAAACAAAAGCAAAGAAATCAAATTTTATGACAAGATGTTAAAACACTTCTGAAAAAGTATACTGTTAATAACATTCCAAATCAAACACCATTAGCCCTAGAGATAAAAATTTTCATTGTTAGGACTTACCATCGAAGAGCCTATCAATAATGTGGTACCCAGCCCGAAGATCTGACAAAGAAAACTCATAAAACTTGGTCCAGCCCTATGAAAACAAATATTAAAAAGTAGTAAAAAACTAAGCAGTATCCAAAGACACATAAAGTATACAGCACTGCCCTTATAAAGAAAATGAGCAATAGATTTTAAATATAGTACGACTATACTAAAGAAAGTACATCTTATGGGAATTTTAAAATCAATATATATCTAACAATAAATATTCTTTCAAGAGCAAATCTATTGGTTCCCCCAAATTGCAAGTACTTTATAATACCATACAGGTATAGATAAAAGAGTGAGAACTGGGAACAAATGGGTGTAACTTTTTTATTCTACGGACTGTACACATGATATAGTTTCTCTAACTTTAAGAACTATATTTTGTCTCCAAAAACACGAAGACTGCCAGAAGAATGTAATTCCATACACTCAAGAATGTAATTCTCTACATGCTTTCTATACATTTCTTTGTACTGAATTCATAAATCATTCATATAACTAATAGTAATAATGATATTTTTAGAAACCTCCATAAAGGTCTACACTATATGTAAAATAATATGAAGCATAAAAACAATTTCTGTGGAGCTTCCATTAATCATAATTAGGTAATAAGTTCATACTACAATGTTTAAGATTTGGATAATATGTATGAACACAGAGGTCCCTCACTTATCGCGGAGGCTGCATTCCAGACATTCCTGCGATAAGTGAAAATCAGAGAAGTAACGATGTTGCATTTATTTTACTATTTATATATATTTTAAGGCTTTATAAACACTCTTATAAACCTGTCCCACTTTTCTAAACTCATGAACCTACATAATTTTAACAACATATGTATACAATATGTATATGCATATAATACTATACAGTATGTATTCATCCACTGAAGAAATACATACTGTAAACAGTGTATTTTACTTTAATTTAATATTTTTAATGCTATAATTAACATTTTAATATATTTTTATACATCTTAATTTTTTTAGGCAAAAGTCATTAAAACCATAAATACTATACATATAAATGCACATACAGTACTGCACACTACCACAAAATCCTGCGATATAGTGAAAAATCCACAATAAATAATTTAGAATAATATTTTTTGAAAACCTGCAAAACAACAAGTGTTCAAAAGGTGGACCACAAAACAGCAAAGGCCTACTGTGCTGACACAAATTTTACTTATTCATCATTTCAAAAGTTTGTATTTTATAGGTTCAGCTCAAAGAATATAAGAACAAACCCAAACATAAAAAAAATCTCTGCCTTTATGTGACCTTCAGCCAAACATAGGAAGGAGTGAGGTGGAGACAATCACTCAAGTGTATGCATGACTAGAAACTACACGGAATTCGATGAAAAGCACCACGCTTGGTATGTGCAGGAAAGAGACCCAAACCAACCTGCGCGCTCTGGGAGGCAAGTCACCCTACAGGGCAAAGGGAGCTCAGATGGAAAGACCTGAGCAGCAGCCAGGGAAAGCGGTAACAGCCTTGAACAGCGCTACACTCGTGCTGGCTGGTGAAGGCACCAGAAGGACAGGGGCTCACAGTGACGCCTAAGCGGATGTGCATTCAGGGGCAGTGGCCACTCACAGTGGAACCAGGAGCGGGCACGGGAAGGAGTCAGGAGGTCAAACATTCAGCAGCACTCCTGAACAGAACTCATTAAACAGCTTATCGAGTGCCTGCTACACACCAAGCAGTTTTGTGACGCCAGCGACAAGACAGCAATGAATAACCCAAAATCTGTCCCGCTGGCAAGGTTATGTTCTAGTACTTGATCCACAACATGGGGACTTTCAATCATTTTTGAGACTTTAAACTTAACAAGTGGAATGAGTAGTTAGATATATAAATCCAGAGCTTACAGAATTGATCTGAATAAAGAGCGACAGAAGTATTTGCCCTATTATTCTAAAAAGTAATTATTCTAAAAAGATATTATGAAAACAAAAAGAAGAGGTTGAGATCAAAGTATAATAATTTAGGAATTAATGATCTGTAGGGAATATGTAACCATCATTGTAGAGTAAAATCTCTACAGTACTTTAAACTTTCTACCAACCCAAAGTTTTAACACTTCCTATATTGTTCTAGTGGATGCTGTCAAAAAAGAATTTCTTTTAAAAATATCTAAAAGATTAATATTTATAAAATCTCTCAAATAGAATGTTACTATCTTTATTATTTAATATGTATTCTCATGATCTGATCCTCAAAATTAAATATTATTCTGTATTTTGTCTAGTTTCACTACCAATTTTATTTTTATGGAAGTAGAGTTACCATGTTAAAAAAAAGAGAGAGAGAAAGAGAGACCTTCTCCTCCATTTTGGCAGAGAATGAACTGTTATACTTATTCTACTGAGCTATCTCCCTGGCCCCTGAACTGTTATACTTTCTACAAGAAGAAATTTGGTAATATTTATGAGTATTTTTAAAAATATATCCTTTTAATCTGTCATGGTTTGGGGCTTTTTCAAGGTAAACAATATAGTACAGGATACATTTTATAATAGTATTTTATAATGAATCACCCAAGAACCACATACTACATGAAATCTCTCACTCCCTAAATACTAACGAATCCAGCTGAGGCCTGGAGCTTGTAACAGTGCCTCCCACCAGTGCAACTGGAGGCCTCGAGCCCACAACAGAGTTCCATGCAGGCCCGCTTCATGGATCTGTGCTGGAAAGGCCCAAAGGTCAGTGGTGGAAGCTAGGACGTCTGTGCCAGTGGGATGAAGGATCTGTGCCAGCAGGCTAAGGGATGTGAATTGGAACTAGGAAGCAACAGTCAAGGTAAGCACCAGAGCTCCCCCAAAAGTACCACAGCCGTTCTCAGCAACAGTGAGATCCCAAGCTCCTCCAGCAATGAGGAAAGCAGAGTTCCCATCAGAAAAGCCAATGTGACAAAGTTCGTGAGGCTGAGCAGGGCACCATCTTCCCCTCGGGAAAGCCAGCATGGCAAAGTTCTCCAACAGAACAGCCAAAAAAAACCTAGCAGCTTCCAGCAGCTCCAACAGCTTCTCCAAACAGCATCCGTAACAGCGTTTCAGCAGCTCAGCTCCGCCTGTTCTGCCTTCATGCTGCTGGCAGCAACCCTCAGGTGGGCCTCCATCACCCAGCCCACACTAGTTTAATTCAGCTGGGTGTAGCAAGCTGACCACCTGTTAGAAATCTACTACATACCCCAACTTCACATTTAGAAAATCGCTCCTAAGAATAAGTATGAAATGAAGTAATCACAGGGATACACATTGGAACATCTTTGAAAAATAGCAAAGACTGAAAAGAATATGTCTGACCATCTAATAAAAATGTCAGTAAAGTTACAAATATTTCAAAATCAAGCATTAAACATACGTGGATACATGATTTCTTTTTTATGTATTTTGTACAGGGTGTACAGGATCTTACTACACATATCAGACTTGTGATCCTCCTGTTTTCAGCCTCCCAAGTACTGGGATTACAGGCACATGCCACCACTCCCAGTCTCAATCGCTGTCTCAACATGCCCAGGGCAGGACCGGCACAGCAGTCCAGGGATCAAACCCCCAGCCCCTCTGTTGCCTAAGCAGGCGCTCTAATCTACTGAGCTATATGGCTGACCCAAAGGGTACATAATTTCTAGAATATAGTTTGAAGAAAGGAATGTACCGAACTCTAGTATCTTACCCTTATGTTACAAAGAACGTCAGCAGGGATGTAAGCTCATAACACATCTTTATATAACCTGCCTGAAGCACAGGCAAGAAAGGGCCTGCAGTGTAGACCTGTGCAGTAGAGGCGTGGTGGCAAGGGGATGAAGAGGAGGGGCTACTTTCCCATCAGAAAACCTCCGCAGCTCATGGATTCCACTGTGTGTATCTCAGTGACACGCAGTGCAGCTTCTAGCGATGAAAGCACATCACACGCACGATTCTACATGAACCAGTCAGGATTAATTGCTACACTAAGCCAAACAGTACGCAGGCAGATCTGGGGCACGGGCTTAGGGGACGATGGGCCTGACACTCCAGACTGAATGGCATTCTAGGTATGATACCTCGGGCAACTTAGTCATCGTCGAGAGGCACCTTCCTCCCGTGTAAATGAAGACAGTTAGTGTATACTCCCCAGAGAGGTAGTACGAAGTTGCTCTTCTTCTGCATTTTATGAGGTAATGCAGTAGTATTATAGCATTACTCATTTTGACTGTGTGATAAACTGTTTCATAGACTACGTGTCAGGCAGACGGGTACCTCCCAGGATAGGCCACCTGTGCAACCCCACGGCAAGGGTCAGCATAATCATGAATCCCACTCGATAGTTAATAAACACTGCTGTTTATTAAGAGTTAAAGTAGTTTATCCAGATCTGGGAAACTCTAGTCAAGACTCAAAGCCAAGTCTAACTTCAGCGCTCCTGCTTATATTTTGGAATGTAACTGAAGTAGACAGGACCCAAAAGGCAGGGAAGACGAGGAGGGTGCTTCAAGGAGATGCAGTAGCCTCCCGGCAGAAATGGGAAAAGAAACAAAGTAAAATGAAGCAGATGGAGGAAAACGTAAGAGGGCACAGTGACGCAGCTTAAGGCCGAGATGGTGGCTGGCAAGAAGGGAGCCCTAGCACCAGGCACGACTTCGACCACGGAAACAACTTAGTTCAGCAGTAGAACCAATAATGAGAAGAAACCTGGGAGCTGAAAACCGTAACGGAGCTCTTCGTGCCTGGAGAGCTACAGCACAAAAAGAAAGGGGCCTCAGAGGAGGCTGGAGGCAGCAGAGCTTCCCTTCTGGCCCGGACAGAAGACATCTGCCTACCTGCGCCATGCGCCGTGCAGCACATTCGACGCACTCTCCTGCAAAGTAATAAAATCATCAAATTTGCACGTTAGAGAGAATTCTGGCTCCTGAATAAAAGACACAGGAAAAGCAAGTACAGCAACTCACAAAGTAGTACAGGACAGATGACCAAGCTTAGCAAAGGCTGAAAAGGAATACACCAGCTGGAGCTACATTTTGGAAGTAGACTCTACATCACTTGATAACAAGAAATTAAGATCAAAAACCAAAAACATCTCCCTGGGCTGTGGAGATGGCTCAGTGGAATAAGCGCTTCCCTGGCAAGTGCAAGGGCCTGAGTTCAATCCCTGGTTCCGCAAGAAAAAAACCTCTCCCGGAATTCCACCACAAGGAACAACAGGGCAGCAGTTCTTAGAGGCTGAGGCGCCTATGAGACAGAAACCCTAAACACGCTATCCAGCCCTCACACAGAGTTTACAACAGACATAGTTACATTAATATTTAATTCAATGAAATCTGAAATAGCAGAAAACACTGAGATACAGACATACATTTATGAGCTATGTGCCACTTTGTGACTAATTACTAAAATATTCTAAGAAAATATAAGCTCTTGACTCTCTCCAAGACACGTTCTTAATTACCTGTGGAATATAATTTCTTCTTTCTTGACATGCAGCATGAAACCACGCAAAACTGAAGAGTGCATGAGCCCGTGATATGTTATCTTTTTTGCTAATCTGCTCAGGAGTCCAAGACTCGTAAGTTCGCATCAAATTCTTCTTCAAACCTGGAGGCGACTGAAGAAAAGAAAATAACAGACAATACTGGTTTAAGTAGGACAAATAAAATAAAACTATACTGCATTTCACATATTTAAGGACATATTTTAATAGTGCTTCATCAGCTTCCAAGTCTGAATTATTTTGTTACTTTAAAATGTATTCATCTAAAACTAGTTTTAAGTGACTCGCAGGTAACACAGCTCATCTCAATTATAATGAGGAATACTTTTGAGATTAAAAGATCGTACAATGAATATCCAAAATAAAGTTTTGTACAATATTGAGGTTTTTCAACTGACGCAAAGTCACTTATGACAATACTGATACAAAACTGACTGTTACAGGGCAGACATTTTTAATTTACTATGCACGCTAGCCCTCACTAATCGGCATTTCACTCTCTACCGGGCCAATATGTCACTTCCACACAATGTTTAAGCGCGTTTTCTTCCACATTAGTCCGAAGTTGAGGAGGTGTTACCTGATGTTACTGTGCAACTAAACACAAATACAAACCCAGGACTAAACTGGTGAACGTATCATATTAATACTGGGTAAACAGAGCTCATCTACCGTACACATCTGTCTATGTAGCATGTATTCTACTACGCTTCTATGTAGTATATACTATCATGTTCCTAAATTACGTGTACATATAGCAAAATGATAAAAGTATTCAAATTCTAAATAGTAAAATACCCCCAAAGGGAACTCTAACGTAATAAAAATTAAGAACACAATAGAGGGGCTGGGCATGCAGCTCTGTGGCACAAGTGCCTGCCTGACAAGGGTGAAGTCCTGAGTTCAATTTCTGATACCACAGGAAAAATAAAAAATAGAACATGATATAGTTTGTCTGCTAAATTCTATGACCTTTCTTTAACTGTAAAATCCTTCTAAAATGGTTTCCAAACCTTGTTTATTAAACATTTATTAACAAGTAGAGACTACACAAAATTTCCTCATTACTATTTCATAAAGCATGACATTAAACGAAATGAAACCACTTAGTGTTTTAATACATGCTGAACTACAGGTGATAAAAATTAATAAATCATACTGCTATAGAAAAATCATATGCAAATGACATTTTTGAAAAATAACAAAACAAAGCTTTCCATTAAAATGTTATCAAAATACTTCCTGAAAAAGATACTAGAAAATGCTGCACTTTGAAGATAAAACATTCAAGGAACAGTTCCTCTGAAAATATTTACTCTGAAAATAAGTTCATCTTATACGTATGTGTATGGTAAACACTACAAAAAGGCAATGGGAAAATTAGCCCTGCCTTCCCAGCTCCTGTAGTCCAGTGCTAGGTGACAGCTCAGCAGCAGAGTTTATCAGCAGAGTGCTGGAGAAGATGGTATGCAGGTCCTTTCCCCTAGGCGTTAAGAGGGTTTTCACTTAACATATTGACACTATCAGGTCATCTCTGCCCCGGAAATTAAGCCCTGCCCATTTTATTCCTTAACTAAGATACACACTTGCAGAAAAAGTGAAGTACTGATCCAAACAGCCACAAACACTAACAAAATCTCTACGTAGAAAAAATTGTAAGAAATGTTTCTACAAATTGAGAGAAAATGCAAGTAGGACATCCTTTTCAAGTATTTAAAAGTTTTAATTAAGTTTACAATTTTATATATAACTGAAAAGTTATAAAATATTTCAACAACATACAGTGTTAGACATAAAGTTTCGGTGGATCTGCTTATGGCCGCACTGACAGCGCTATGAACTTGGGTAGAAGGGGACCCACAGATGGATAAAATCAAACAATGATAATCTAAATTTTTTAAGTCAAAAAGAAATGATAGGAAAAACATAATTATATGTAGTACAATGAAGTTAGACTTCTTAGATTTATATCACACTCAAAAGTAACTAAAAATGGATTAACAGGCCAAAATGCGAGAGCTGAAATTGTGGATTCCTAGAAGAAAACACTGGGCGAGAGTCTTATGACACTGACTTGCAGTGAGTGATTCCTTAGACACAGAGGCACCGGCAACAAAAGCAAAAGCAGGTAAGCGGAACTACATTAAACCTAAAGCCTTCTGCAGAGCACCACGGAAACAGTGAAAAAGCAAGCAACTCAATGGGAGAAAATCATTTGCAAAGTACCTGCCTAATGAGATTACAGAAAAAAATTAACAACAAGTCAATTAGAAATGGAACAATGACATGAATAGATGATTCTTCAAAGCAGCAGCACAAATGTCTGACAAATATGTAAAGAGATGTTCCATGTCCCTGAGCCCTTGTGGTTGATCCCAACGGGATGATCGCTGTTTTGTAAAACACAGTATGGGAGTGACGGCAAAGAAGCTGCGTGCTGCTCTTGGAAATGTAAAGCGGTGCAAACACTGCGGAAACAGTATAGTTTTCTTCAAAAGTTAAAAATAAAGCTACCATCTAATCTAGAAATTCCAATTCTAGGCATGTGTACAAAATAACAGAAAATAACATCTTGAGGAGAGACACGGCTGTCTACTTCTTGCATTTTCCATAATGGCCCGGAAGTAGGAGACCTCACAGTTTGCTGATGGCTGAATGAAGAAACTGCCCATATATAAAACAGGATATTACTCAGGCTTAAAAATTAAAACACGGATGGACCTTGAGGATATTATACTAAATGAAATAAGAAAAGTCACAAAAAAAACAAAATTGCATCATTCTATTAAGTGAAATAATCTAAAATAACTCTCAGAAAGTAAAAGTCGAATGAGCGCCGGGGGCCAGAGAACGAGGAAATGGGAATTGATGCTAACAGTCTCAGGTTTACAAGGTAAAAATATTCTAGAGTTACCTGATATAACAAGGTATAAACTGTCAACACTGCTATACTGGACGCTTAAAATGGGTAACTTGGTAACCTTTGTGCTCTTCCTTAGGACAACAAACACATAAAACTGGAAAAGAACTTTTAAACTTTATCTTATACTATGGTATATACTGTACTTCAATTAAATACAAAGCTCAATTTTTCACCAGTTTTATACAGATAGCTGTTGAAAGACTTAGGAAGCCCGTATAGACATTGCTCTTGCAGAGCCGGTGACCCAAGCACTACCTTCTCACCTCATATGTTATCTTCAAGCTTGACTGCAGTAAAATGGTGGTAAAGTTTGGATGAACTTCTGCAGTGAGCCAAAGACGAAAAGTGTCTTTAGGTTGAAGGGTATTCAATTCCTTGTTTACAAAAATAACAATGAGAAGTTATTTAATATGCAAAACATATTCCTCTTTAGCAATCTATTTAATATGCAAAACAATTCCTCTTTAATCAGTTTTTCTTATCAAAACTTTTCTATGGCATTCAGGTATATTTTTTCTGTGACATTCTGATACAACACCCTGAATAAATTTCTTTTATTGTTAAGTTCTTTATTTTTAGCTTAGTGTAAAGAATGAAAACTGGAAAGTTTAAAGCTGGACCGGCAGCCAGCTCTCCCAGCTAAAACCCATGCTTCCCACTTCTTTGCTTGCTCTGTGACCTTGGGCTCTGCGACTTACTGCCTGGAGCCGGAACAGCAGCAGCACCTACCCCACAGGCCTGCGCAGACGCTCAGAACAAAGCAGGAGACACAGTGGGTATGAGCAGGCACCAGCACCAGCCTCCACGCCCAGGTTAGCAGCCACGACCAGGCCCTTAGGTTCGCAGCACTTCAAGCCACACTTCCACAGAGGCGTGCAATGATACAAACGTCTGTACTGGCAATGTTTTGGCCCCTAAGAATTTTATTTTTTCTGAGAATCAAAAGACTGCTGAGGCTCAAACCCAGAGCTTCACACACACTAAACAAAAGCTAATCAACTGAGCCACACTCCCCAAATTATAAATCAAAACCACTGTGCAAATTCCCTGTGCACACCCCTCGTGTTACCAACATCGGTCACAGCTCCGATCACACGCTCCTTTTGTCCACTTTTCTCTTTGCAGCCTAAGAGGTCCCACTCGGCTGTCACAACGCAGTTCAGCTGTGCTGCCAGGCAGTGCCCTCTCTAGCTGGCACTGCCACAGCCACAGCCACAGCGGGAGCAGTTGCCCGTGCAGCTCTGGAAAGCTCTTCTGTAGCACAGCTGTGTATAAATGGAAGCTGCGCTTTCTACACCACATGGCAAGAGAGCAGACACAGTCTGCATGTAACCAACACCTGGCACAAGGCCTACTTTTTTCTGTACTTATTTGTAGATCAAACGAATGAATAAATGAAAAAAAGGTAATAATATTTCCAAAAGAGAAATCTTAATTTTTTACTTTATTTATGTCTGACACTAACATTCTTTATTAGTATCATTTAAAATGTATTTAAGATGATCAAACTATGGAAAAGCGGCCATAAAAACATTGTGCTTGCTTCAAACTATAAGTGAAAAAATGTATTTGCACCTCAATGTTAAAATGCAAAGTTTATATAAAATTTTTCCTTGTGGTATCACATCTAAACTTTAAAAAGACTAATAATCTTTGTGATATATTTGGGTTTAGTAAATTAGTAAAATTATATTCAACAACTCAGCCAAAGTTTCCAAAAAGAACAAAAAGAAAAAAATTAAATTTTTTTGAACTTTTGAAATGCAGCCTACCTCACATTTTCTTCAAAAAGTCTTAAGATCTGCTTTCAAAATATTGACTAAAATTATATTTTACTTAGATTAACAGCTATCAATCAGCTATAACAAAGAGCATGATTTAATTATTCACTGGTTATTATTATTATTATTATTATTATTTATTATTTATTATTATTTTTTTTTTCAGAACCAGGGATTGAACTCAGGCCCTTGTGCTTGCCAGGGAAACACTTATTCCACTGAGCCATCTCCCCAGCCCCTACTGGTCATTATCTTTTAAAATATCTGAGAGAGATTAGAGAAACAAAACCTTATACAATAACATCTAAAAAAAAAAAAAAAATGAGGGCTTCCAAGATAGCTCAGCGGATTAAAGCACCTGCTTAGACAGACACAGGGGCCGGGGGTTCAATCCCCACCATGCCGTGCTGGCCCTGCCCCCGAGGCATGCTGAGATGGTGATTGAGACTGGGAATGGTGACATGAGCCTGTAATCCCAGCACTTGTGAGGCTTAAAACAGAAGGATCACTACAAGTCCAATCTGTGTAGTGAGACTCAGTAGACCCTGTATTAAATACATTTTAAAAATAATAAAAATAAAAAATAAAACAATGACATACTTAGGAATCGATAATGAAGGAATGAAAGAACTTTATATGGAAAACTACAATATGCTGAAAAAGGAGATCAAAGAAGACATTATAAAACAGAAAGATTTCCCTTATTCTTGTAGAGACAGAACCAATATAGTGAAAATAGCCATACTTCCAAAACTATTATACAGAATTAATGCAATCCCAATCTAAACCCAAACAGCATACCTCACAGAATTAGTAAAAACAAGCCTAAAATTTATAGGGACCAGAAGAGACCTGGAATAGCAAAGCAATTCTGGGCAATAAAGACAGAGAATGGGCATTACAATCCCCAATTTGAAGATATATTACAAACCTACCATGATAAAAACAGGATGGTACTGGCAAACAGACCCTAGAATCAGTGAACAGATGAGAAAATTGAGAAACTACTCCAAGCACACTCAGCTGCCTTATGTTTAACAAAGGAGCCAAACAACGTCAATGAAAGACAGCCTCTTTAAAAACTGGTGCTAAGAAACATGACTTCCCACATGCCAAAGAGTAAACCTAGACCTATATTTCTCACTATGCACCAAACTAAAACCAAACTGGGATCAAAGGTCTAAATATTAAAACAGAAACATATCTGCTGGAAGACAGAATTCATAGAACACTTAAAGAGGTAGGGGGCTGGGAAGATAGCTCAGCAGTCTAAGCACCTGCCTGGCAAGTGCAAGGACCCAGGTTTGATCCCTAGTAGCACATGCTGCACTGGTTCTAGAGCCCCAGGCGTGCCGAGCTGGCCACCAAAACTGGACGTGGTGGTGCACACCTATAATCCCAGCACTGGAGAGGCTGAGACAAGAGGATCACTACGTGTCTGAGCTGCATAACAAGACCCTGTACCAAATAATTAACAAATAAATAAACAAACAAATAGCCACAGACATAGGCAGAGACTTTACGGACCCAGGAAACCCAGGAAAATATTTCCTTGATAACCCAGGAAATATTACAAAGAATCAATGACTGGAATCACACTAAAAACTTAAAAATATTTTGCACAGCAAAATAAATCACCAACACAGTATAGAGACAGCCTACAGAATGGGGAAAAAATGTATCAGCTATTCCTCACACAAAGGACTAACATCTAGAATATGTTAAAAATCTGAAAAAATAAGACCCCTCCAAATTCAAAGATACAATCCAAAAATGGGCATCTGAAATGAACATATTTCTCAGATGAATCACAAACAGCAAATACATTTAAAAACTGTCCCACAGAACTGGCCATTCAAAAAAATGCAAACTGAAATACCACCAAGATTCTCTCCAAAAAGAATGGCAATCATTAAGAAATCAAACAGTGGGAGTGTAAATTAGTACATTATTATGGAAATCAGTGTGGAGCTTCCTCAAAACACAAACTAGAGGTTCTCTTTGACCCAACTATTCCTTTTTGATGCATCTTCCAGAGTTAAAAGCTTCATGCCACAGTGTTACATTCACACACGTTTGTAGTAGTACAACTTACAATAGCTTAACCTTAGAAACAGACCATATGCCCATCAATGGTGAGTGGATAAAGAAAATGTGGTTTCTATACACAGTGGAACACTTATTCATTCATTAAGAAGCATGAATTTGAGATATTTTTGCATAAATGGGGACACCTTGTGACCATAACTTTAAGTGACTAAGTGAAAATAAGTGCTACATGTTTTATATCATATTGTTTCTTATTTTGAGAAAACCCACAGGGAAAATAAGGAGCAAAGTGCAGAGTGGGGATTGGGAACAGGAGGAACAGTGTGCTCAAATGGGTAGGCAAACAAGGGAAGTGCAGTGGGGGAAGGGCAGGAGGAGAATAGAGGTTAAAAAAAGGAAAAACATGGAAAGCAAGCTTCTGTACATGAAGAGGGGAAGAAAAATTGAAGGGAAAGGAAAGGAATGACAAGAAATAAATAAAAATAAAGAATTACGATATATTATGTACAGGTACAAATACCCTAAGATAAATGTGATCACTATGTATAGCAAACATGTGCCAATAAGTGAGTAAAAATATAAAATATATGCTGAAGACATGAATTTTAAATTAACACACTAGTGAATTTTATAAAAAGCTATAAAATTGTTACATATTAACACATAGCTCAGTCTATAATGTATATCTTTTGATTATAAGTAGTGACACTTTATAGCCCACCAAGGCCTGCTCCAGGCAAGCGCTAGTGCCAAGGCTTACCGAGCACCTACTCGGGGCACCGTGCTCTTCCTGCCAGTTTTTCAGGACTGCACACAGGTTCAGCACCTCACAACAAGCACAGGGCTGCCCTCAATCTACGCTGTCTGGCTCTCTTTTATAAATGAGTATCACCAACCTAATTTGTTAATTACTAACCACCCTGGCAAAGACTTCTGGGTAAGCACAGGAGGGAAACACTGCACCCCGCACGGCTCTCCAGATACTCCGCAGCCCAGATGCTCCGGGCACATCCCTCACGCTGGGTCTGTGCTGGAACTGGCCACGACAAGCTTTCTTGATCTACACTTGGCTAAATTCCATCCACCATAAGGAACACCTTGTCCTTCAAGCCTTGTCCATCCAAGACCACACTTTTCTTACATAAGCACCGAACTAATATAAATAGGTCTTCTACAATTGTCTAAAGCATCCACTATTTTCTTGTAGAAAAACTCGGTAAGCTTCTCTTTCAACCTTTGTTAATAATTCTTAGCTTTGCTTAGGTATGCCTAAGAGACAAAGTTTTATAAAATTCCTATTAAAAGACACATCTTGCTTCACACTAATGCATTTTTGTTGAAGTAAAGACATGTTTAAAATTATTATCTGGGGCCAGGGAGATAGTTCAATAGAATAAGTGTGTGTCCCTGGCAAGCACAAGAGCCTGAGTTCAATACCCAGTTCCGCAAAAGCAAATAAATAAAATAAATTATCAATTACTAACTTGTTAAAACATAATGCATATGCAATTTGAATACGGATTTTTTTTTTTAAAGATCACTGAACTCACACAATGTATCTAACTTACAGCGCATTTATCTGGACCTACCTTTTCCAGAACTGGCAGCCAGGACACCACAAGATGTAAGTTTTTCAAGCAGAGCCAGTCTCCGCTGCTGGCGCACTCCCTTAACATCTGGATCGCTAGGTCCGCTTGGCCTTGACCCATGGCAACCTATGAAACAACAGGGGAAGGTCTGTAGCGTATGGCACCACTGGAAGAGAGTAACAAAAATGATAAACTCTGAACCTCCTTTGCTGGCCTTAATATCAAGTTACGAAGAAGAACCAAACTAATAAGTTACTCATCCTCTCCAAGAATGTGAATTTAAAAATTTATATGCGTACTTTAACTTTCCTGCCAAAGTTACTGCTATCAGACACAACCTGTAGCACAGGGCTCCGTGCCTTCAAACACCTCACTGATAACTGAATACTGTTCTATAAATGTACTCATGTACTCTGCCCATGAGTGGGATGCCCTAGGGTAGGTGAGCAACTGCCCACCTGAGCTTAACCGAGTTGCTACCTTACTGTCTACCAGCTGTACTTGGCTTTGTGAAATTCTTATTTTTCAACTTTTGCTTGCAATGAAATACCTGGGTTTTTGAATTATTTTCCTAGCCAAAAAGGTTTATTCACTTGCCATAAGCTGAGGATAAATTTAATTTACAAAGTCATTTGTAAATTAACTTAAAAAAATAGACAATCTGAACAAATAAAAGCTCCTACTCAAGAAAGCATACTGAATAAATTTTACTCTAAGTAATGTATTCCTTTACTTTTGTTTAAGCTTTTGCAGGTAAATGTTATAATAATTTATTATAAAGGCATCCAAGTAGAATTTTATTTATTTATTTCTTGGTGGAACCGGGGATTGAACTCAGACCCTTTCGCTTGCCAAGCAAGTGCTTATTCTACTGAGCCATCTTCCCCGCCCCAGAATTTTTAAAGATATTCTCAAAATGTGAGCCAAAGTCCTAGTTTCCTGCTGCTGCTCTATCAAGTTACCACAATTTTAGTAGTTTCACTCAAATTCCTATTTTAGACTTCTGGAGGTTTTCACAATCTAAAATGGAGGTGTCTGGATTTGAAAATAAATGTAGTATTACATGGCTGCTTTTATTCTGAAATCTCTGAGAGAAACCCTTTTCCTTGCCTTGCCCAGCTTTGGGGAGCCAGTTACCTCCCTTCACAGCAACCCAGTCCATCTTGAAGACCTGCAGCACGATCTCTCCGTCCTCTGACCTCCTGTCCTGTACGTCACTCTCCCTGCTGCCTGCCTCCTGCCTCCTGGGTCTGGGTCTGGCTCCCGCCCCCGCCCCCGCCCCCGTCCCCGCCCCCCTCCCCGCCCCCATAAAGACCCTTGTGATTATGACTGCGCCCACCTGGATAATCCAGGCTACTTTTTTACTTGCAGAACCCTTCACTGTATGTATCTGTAGAGTTATTTTTGCTGTAAACATATGCACAAGTTCTGCAGACTGAAACCTAAGCCACCTTTTTGGGAACTACGTGGCCTAGCACAACAAAAACTGCAGCAGGACGCAGAGGCAGGAGCAGACCAGCTGGGCACTGGGGCGCACCTGGTGGTAACACGCTCCACTTCTTTCCGCATTAGCAAGCTCTTGAAGTTCCTGAGAAGGATCGGCGCCCGGGGAAATAATAATCAAAATGGGCTCAATTTCCAGGGTCTCTTTGTATAAACGTTTGAGATTTAGAGGAAGTGGTGATAATTCTTTCAGCCCTACAAGACATGGTAAAGGAATTAAAAAATAAAAAGCAACATCAGCATAAAAAGTCTTCTCAAGTAATTGCATGATGGAGAATACCTGAGTAAATTATCATATGTTCAAAGTTTTTGACTCTAAAATCATTCACATACTAATAATAACTATAAGTAATATTTATTCAAAGCCTAGAGTACCAACCATCCTATTTTCTTTTATTGGAGACAGGGCCCCACTCTGCAGTTCAGGCTGGCCTCAGACGCACGGCGCTCCTCCTGCCTCAACCTCCGGAGACGTACTGGGATTACAGGTGTGCACCCCCACTCCTGATCGGTGTGCCAATCACTATTCCAAATATTTTCCTCATTCATTACTTACTAATCATTACGACACTAGCTACCATGAATGCCACACTGACCAGATGAAGAGCAGATGCCCAGCACTGTGGTCTTACTGTGATTTCTCTCCCTACAAGAGGAGACTGGACCTTTCCATCTTACCGCGTCCCTTCTACATGCCATGCCACTGCAGTTTGTGTCTAGGTGTCCTGCAAAGCCATGGGTCAGGGGCGGCTTCTGGAGTTTGTGATTATTGTGAGTGTGCTGCTGCACCTGCCCCGGGGCAGGTAGTGTGAATTACAATGTAAAGAGGGGAGAGAGGCTACCTAGCACCAGAGCTGCTGCCGCCCTTGCTGTCTGCTCTCTGCTGCCATCAGGAATGGCTGCTCTCCACCATGTACGCTGCCCCGGAGCCAGTGAAGCATGCCCTGGAACCTCCACTTACTGCGAGCTACATAAGCCTTTCCTTCCTTAATTCTGGGTATTTTCTGAGCATTTTCCCAGCAATGAGAGAAGAGTAACTGAGACGCATGCCTATGGAGGAACTGAGTTCTAAATCATGCAGGACCATTTATGGCTCAGAGACGCCTCCCCAAACTCTCAGCTCCGAGGAGGGGCTTCTGGGAAGCAATGGGGGCACAAAAGGCGGTTCGACCTGGTCAGAGTGGGGCCTGGGGAGGGGGCTGGAGGAGTGGCCTCCCTCCCTGGCCCAGCCCCTCCCTCTGCTTGGGGTGGTCACAATGTGAGCAGCACTTCCTCCTCTAGGTTCCTCTGCAGAGCTGTCCCTGCCATGCAGCCAGCCAACCAGGGACTGTGACGGCGAGCCAAGATTAACCATCCTCCTTTACGTGACGGGCAGCTGGGGCCTGGCAGTGAGGAAGTGATGAAGGCACCGGGGTGAACAGTTTCCCTGTCCTGATGCAGGAGTTACTGCCTGTGCACATCACAAGTGCAGTGAACAACAGAATGTCTACGCCAGAGAAGGAAACACGCTGGGGTCATACATTTTTCTTGGCTGAGCGACCCTACATGAATCCCTGAGAGACTTTATGCCTTAGTTTTCGCAACTGTAACATAGAGATGCAAAGATCCACGGGTCCTTCAGGAGCAAAGCAGGCTGGAAGACTTCTGAGAAGCACCACGCAGTCGTCACCTTCTCTACGCTAAGATGCCACCAAGGGCACTGCAGTTTATTTACCTGCTTTCTGAACAACGCAGCCATGATGCGCAGCTGGCACTGTTCACCCACGTGTAGGAAAAGCAGCAATGCTGAAGGAAGCTGCTGCCCGCCGAAGGGGCTCGGCCGCGCTCTGCCTGCAGCACTCAGAACCAACTCGCCGCACCTGCCTGCTCGCAGCCCTCACCAGCTGCCGCACAGCGTCACTGCATCACGGAGCTGCAACTTGCCTATTACACTTAAATCTGTGCCGCTAAAGCTTGAGTGTTTCCATGATTACTATATTTAGGAAAAAAGCCTGTTTCAATTCAAAACTTGTCGGAATTTCTGTTGCGTATTCTACTATACTGGTCTGAGTTGAACTAAAAAGAATACTGCACAAAATTTAAAATAAATAGAGGATTCTGACGTCCCACAGAATGACTGCACAGGCAAGGGGCTCCCACATTCTCACAGGTGGCAAAGAGTGCAGGTCCTGCTCTCTCCTTTACGCCTTGGGGCTCTCAGGTAAGAGGACCTCAGGGCACAGCCGGTTCCCCACAGCTGACTCAGTGCTGCCTGCTGCAACAGCCCAGCTGTGCTGCTCTGAATGTGGGTACAGAGGAGCAGAACCAGTACTCAGATCTTTTGCAAAAGGAAGAGGAGCAAGAGATGGAGGAAAGAAGAAAGAAGCGTAGATTTCTGTAGCAAACACCGCATTCAATGCCATCAAATGGACAAAAAAAGGTATCTCCAGGTGTGAAAAGCATTTCACACCTCTAACACCAGCCTCTAGTCTCCAGAGTAGCAAAATACAATGCACAAAAGGCAAAAACAGGCTTTTTACCAAGTAAAACTTCCCCTCAATATTAACTTGAAATTTATATACTGCTTTCAGAGGCGTGCTTTATGGATTTTTTTACTTACATTTTTTCAGCACTAGAGGTTAATAAATCAGGGTCTCCAACATGCTAGACAAGTGCTATACCACTGAGCTGCATCTCCAGCCCACAAATTTTATTTTTTAACTAAGCTTAAACTGCTAACAGTTACAGTTTTGAAAATAAAAACAAAATATTCTGTACTGATTGCAGTGTAGAAAAATATTTTTATTCATTCAAGCAGTTATTCATGAACTCAATAAATGTACCAAGCCAATTAAATATATTATTTAATAAAGTGTCTCAAATCCTTAAAAATGTGCATGTTCTTGACTCAGCAACTAAAATTATTTAAGAAATAAGTCATGAAATAAACACATAACAGGTAGGGTGCTTCCACTGTAGCTGGAGGTATGAGCTAAAACCTGGGGAAAGACTTCAGGCTTCTAACAGCAGGAGTCTGTAGGTGTAATTCTCAAAAGCCAAAAAAGGAAATAAAGTCACAAAGATGTTGAAGTTAAGGGTAATTTCCTTAAAAGATTATTCACTAGGACAGGCAATAATGCAATGTATGTATACCTAGAGGCATAAGAAGAGTGGGAAGACACTCAGAGATGTTGCTACTATGAATGCTGAATAATGGACTAACAGGTGTCTCTTATGTTTTTATTCCTCTCTTCTGATTGCTGTAATTAGTATCTCTTACATGATTAAAATGTCAAAACATAATGGTATTTTCATATTAAATAATTATTGACACGTATTTTCTTGGAAAATATATGCCAATACAAAAAAGAAAGAATGTAAATTACCATGTCATTCCTTAATCTAATGAACAGACTGGAAACTTTGTAAGGGCAGGTATCACTCTGTACTGTTCAGAGGCTAATTTAGTTGAGTTAATTCCTAATTTTACATAAAAGCTAAACCTATGTTTGCTAATTCATTCTATGCAATATTTGAAAGCAAGGCATATCTTAAACTAGAGATTCTTTTCTGTTCTTGGCATGGAATATGTGCCAGCCTTGTTATCTTCTGAGGCGAGGTCTTACTACGCCAGATGTCTGAGCTGGAACTCGCCATTCCCCATGTAACGCCGGCAGTGCCGTGCGCGTCACTCGGCCGGCCTGCGTGTCACGTGTCCAGGAGATTCCCATAAACTGTCTCTGCAGCTAGGCAAACTGCGCACGTGCACTTAAACTAAACTAAGTAATTCTGACTGACGTCATGAGTGCTATCAGGGCCAGTCACCAATTATTATCTATTATTTATTAAAATTATTTAATAAAGTTGGCAGTGATAAATGTTAATTTTACTGTGAAATTATGTACATGTATAAATCATGAGAACCATGTTTTGCACATGATCCTTTATTTTTTTTTGACAAAAAGAGCTAAAAAAAAGTCAAGGGAATAACTTACCACTTTAATGTATTTTGCTTTACTTAGATAAAATATTGTGACCATAAAAAAGAAATACTTCATAGTTTATAAATTAAAAATTATTACTCCAAGATTTTTCAGGTACCTCAGTAAAGAAAGTTGCCCAACTAATATTAATCTACTACAGGTAGTCAGTGTAATGGATTCATTTTCCTCATTCATCATACCTGCCATACAGAGAGCTGTATCAGGTATACAAATTACTTTCCCTTTCTTAGAAAAAGAAACTGTCAAAAGGAACCACAAACATCAATGAAAAGGAAATATAACAACCAAAAAACATGTGCCAAAGTCATTTTGTGGTAGACAGAATTTTAAAGATACCTCTTTTAACGTTCTGAAGCTCTGATTACACAGACACGAAACGAGGTGCTCCAGAGCGAGGACCTGCCCCGCTGGCTAACCCAGTCGTCACCGCTTGGGTCCGCAGATGCGTCAGGACAGAGGAGCAGTGTGCTTGGACACACAGGAAAGCCCGAGACATGGGAAGCATGAAAAGGAACCGAGTTCCTGCTCCTGGAACCACACCAAAGAACACAGGCTGCCTCAAAAGGCAGGGAAAAGACCAAAGAATGGACAGGAAGCAGGAACCTCAGTCCTCCGTCGCCACGGGGCTACACCAGAGCAGCGGACGTGGGCTTTTCTGGGTCTCCCTCGTAAGAGCTGCAACAGCCAACACAGACTTGACTGATGAACAGTGGCAGCAGATTGTGGTAATAAATGGCCACTGCTTTTAAAATTTAAATTTATAGCAACAGTAGCAAACCAATGTGTATGTGCTGGGCCATTTCCTCCCCCTAGAGGTACACTTCACATCTAGGTTCAGCAACGGAAGCAACATGCATGAAACGGGATGAGAACACAGACAGACAAGAAGCAGGCTGTAAAACTAGGAAACCTGCACAGCTTAGAAAATCTTTCTGATGCAAAACCAGCGAAGGTGGTATTTTCTCTTGCTACGCAGCCCCACATGGCAGCATAAGTCTGTGGATTTCTGGATCTTCCATCCACACTACACAGCACACTTCTCAAACAGTTCCAGAGCACCAAAATTAAATCAGAATTACAGAACTCAGAAAACTTGCATCTGGTGCCATAATCTTTAAAAAATATTACAGAAATGCAGTACACACGTTTCTGCTGGGATGAGGGACAGCATAGACATATGCTCCACCTGAACAAAGCAGTCTTTTCCCAGGATTTTTCATGGTGACACTGGAAAGAAAACCTCTTTTTTCCATTCATCACGAGGTACAACATGTGGCTAAGGAGGTCATGGCAGCCTTATCCACTAGAATGTGAAAAAAACCCTGCAACTTAGAGGAAGCTATAAGCAGGAATTAAAGCAAGAGGCTAAAATCAATGAAGATGCAGAGAAAAAGTCAACAGAAATTTGTGCTGGGGGTGAAAAGAGAGACAAACTCCAATTACAAGACAGAACAATCTGACACTGCAGATGACCATGGGATGAGTTGGCAAGAGGGCAGCTGAGTACTGCTTATTTAAACCAATACATTCCCTTTTTGCATGCAAGGGAGTTTGGCACGGGTATCTTTCATTTCCAACCAAGAGTGTGGTGGACAGATATTCTGCCAGACATGACTGTCTTACTCATCTTCCCAGCTGGGACCAAATACCTGACAGCCAGTTTGAAGAAGAGAGAGTTACTGTGGTTCATGGCTTCAGAAATGTGAGTCCATGCCGACAGATTCAAAAGAAAACGGCGTGGAAGAAGGGCCTGCAGGGGCAGAGAGCTGCTCACGCGCGGGCCGCCAGAAAGCAGAGCAGGAAGGGAGGCGGCAGGAAGGGAGGCATGGCCTTCCAGGTCATTCCTCCAATGACCGACCAACTCAGGACCCACTCCTGAGCAGCGAGTTAGCCATAGCACCCCGAGAATCCAACTGCCTGCCACGCTGCTGCAGCACATCAGGCTTTGGAGGTACATTCCTGACCTAAACCACAACACTGACGGATAAAACATTCGACCGGAAACGAATTCACAGGACACCTCCTCTCCACACGTAAGGAATGGAAGCCCGGGGTATCTACAGGGTCGTGTTTATGCGACCATCACAAATCAACTGACCAGTCCTAAAGACAACTCCAAATATAGTGGGCCTCAGTTCACCAATCATGCTTGTAGTTTGGTTGCAACCAGAATCATGGAAAGAATTCTGGGATCAGAATTGTGGACCGAATCAAGTTTGTGAATAGAGGCACCACTATACGTAAGGAAGAAGTAGGGTGTATTCTGGTAGGGAGGGCAGAAGATAGATATCTTATAAAAAACTAAATCTGTGTGTGTCCCCCAAAGAAGGTATGCAAAAGTTCTAATTGCAGAGGTTCAGAATGTGACCTAATTTGGAAATTAGATAACTGTAGATATAATTAGTTAACTACATTTGAGTAAAGTAGGTCCCCAATACAAATGACTGGTGTTCCTACAAGAATATAGTCATGAAAAAAAGATGGAAAGAATAAGAGATAACAATAAAGAAATAGCTCCGAGTAATGCAGCTGCAAGCAAGGAAACAAACGACAATGAGCAAACCACGAGAATCTAGGATCGATGCTCCTGAAAATACTGCACTTACCTAAGGTTTTACATACAAACAGAGCCATGGCACTCTGCAGCCGGTCCGGTCTGAGAGCCTGGACTACAAGAACCTTAAAAGAAAATGCAGAGTATTTTTAAATAAACTTCTGACAATGCCTTTTACTAAATAATAATTAATTTTAACTATATGTTTATTAAGATACATGAATACTTATGATTCTTACAAAATCAGTACTTCTTATGTTCTAAATTGTCACAATGGGCTTAGAGCAAGGCATCCCTTTACTATACAAAGCTTTGTTGAAATAAACGTAAGCCTGCCATCTAAAGTAAACAGAGGGCCAGCACTGCCCTCAAGATCTAAAAAGTGAGCAAACGGCAGGTGAAAATAGAAGAACACAGGCTAAGAAATCCTAGTGGCAACAAATGGAAGCCCAGAAATCTTCCCTAAAAACTTCAAATCACTAACTTTGTGCTGAATTGTGTGTATTATGATAATCTTAGATGTATAAGTTTTCATTCCTTGATGTTTTATTCTTTCCTTTATAAGCACATTTGTTGGGAAAAAAAATTCACTGTACAGTACACAAAGTCTAAGAGGACATGTCCCACAATCAACAGCACAAGGAAGAAATCAACAGCAGGGCCGTGGACTCAAGCCCCAGCTCCCAGAGAGCTCTCCCATTCGAGGCTTCATACAGCCAAACTACGGAGTAGAACCGACCAGGAGACTTCTTCATTCTGCTTGTGTTCTTTCCTCACTCAAGTCTTTTCCTTAGATAAGCTTCTGGAAGATGAGTGAAGAAACCCCATAATTTGTTATCTTTCTTCCATAGACATATCGATATCATACCTGTAAGATCTTTTGGATTACAAGCAGAAAATGAGAAAAATGGCAGTGGAGACAAGCCTGCCAGCACCTGTTCTGGATAGGGTGGTAAGGGCAGAAAGTGCTTCTCTCACAGGAGGGGATAAAAAGGTTATGTAATAATCTAACTCTAAATGATTTCTGAATGAAACACTTTAAATATCTTTACATTTGGATGCTCAATTTTACCTGCTGAAATAAGGAAACTTTCTTCGCAAGAATGGCTGGAAACTCTTGCTCACACGCTGAGCTGTGGTAGTAAGGGCGCCACAGGGCTGCATCTTCGAAGCAGAGGGTCTGGTAAAGACCGGGGAGGGCAAGCTAAAAGCAAAAGAACAACGTATGTTGAGCTACAGGAAAATAGACGTACATGCATGTGTTTTGAAAAACACTAAAAAAGCAAATGAAGACCAATTATTACTTTTTAACTTTCTCTTGGCTTAGCTAATGTTTCCTACATCATAAACAGTACAGTATTTCATGTTAAAACCAGGATTTTTTTTTAAAGCTTTCTGGGGGCTGGGAGATGACTCAGTGGAATGAGCACTTCCCTGGCAAGTGCAAGGGCCTCAGGTCAATCCCCGGCTCTAAGAAAAAAAAAAAAAAAAAAGCTTTCTGAAGTGGTATAAGTCAATACTCATAAATTAAGAAATCTTTTTTCTATGTAAAAACATTTACCCCTAGCTATTTCCACCTTCTGCAGAAAAATGCTGTCATTAAAATCAACGATACATTTTAGAGACTGCCACAACTGAACTGCCAAACTGTGTCGTGGCTCATCCATAATGCCAGCCACATCAGCAGGTAAGTCCGTGACACGTTCTCCACAGTGTGAGTTTGCTCTTGGCACAGACTCTCGGTATCGGACACATTCAGCTGTCGTCCTACTAGTGCTGGAGGAAAAACAGAGCTGAACGGTACTTAAGGCAGTGAGAACAGACTTCATTTGAGCTTACTGCACTAGGGGAAAAGGGCTGCCCGAATAGAACAAAGTTCAATACAATGTGGGCGAGTGGTAACGCAGAGCCCTGAAGCCAGTAGGGAGCACCCTTGGGAAAGTGGGGAATGGGGCCTCTGCACAGCCTGCTAACCCGTACTCTCAAAGGCACGTCAAAGTGAGCAGAATCCCCTGGGGGACAGCGGAAGGTAAAGAGGTCAGTGCGAAACCAAGGCTGACAGGCAGGGAAGCTGGGAGAGCTCTGCTTAAGCCAACCAGCAGAGGTCCTGCTAAAGGGAGATACGCACACACAGATGTACACACACACACACACGGTTATACACACACATGTACAAGGATGCACACATTCATGCACATGGGTATATACATGCATATACATGGGTGCATACATACCTGGATATACACATGCCTTGTATGATGCACACACATGGATGTATGCATATACATACATGAATTACACATGCACGTGCATGGATGTATACATATACATGGGTGTGCATGTGTATATAGATATACACACATGTACTCACAGATATACACACATACACACAGATGTACACATGCATGTATGTGAGTGTATACTTATACATCAATGCACACAAATACATGGGTGTACACATGCATGAATGGCACATACACATACACACACATGAATGGCACATGCACATACATGGATATATACATATACATGGCTGAACATGTGCATATACACAGATATACACATATGCATGCATGAATATATACACACAGAGATGTACACTGTATATACACAGATGTACACATACACGGATGCACACATACATGGATGTACACATGCATATGTAAGGATGTACAAATACATGGATATGCACATACATGGATGCACATATACAATGGATATACACATGCATATATATGGGTGCACACATACATTGATGTACATATACACAGATGCACACACACATGCATGGATGTACATATATACCTGTGTGGATATACACATACATAGATGTACATACACACAGATGTACATATACACATACATGGATGTACGCATGCATATATGTGGATACACATACATATACATGCATGAATACACATGCACATGCATGGATGCACATATAAGAATATACATATGCACATACACAGATGTACACATGCAACACAGATATACACATACACGGATTACACATGCACATACTTGGGTATACACATGTATACCCACGGATGTGGCCCAGGACGCTGACTAAAGTTTGGTCAAACACAAATTCTTCATCCCTAGTATAATGCTAACTTGCAGTAAGCATCAAATAAATGATTAATGAAGAAAATAATGACTGATATAAAGTAGAATTCATTTAATTCAATACTTTTTAAAAATAAATATATAACAAGCAGTAGTAAAAGAGTCCAGATTTTGCTTCAAGGTGCCCAACTTTGAACACTGCCTCCACTTCCTAAGTGACTATAAGCAAATGATCTTTAGTTTATTTTTTATTTATTTATTTATTCATTCATTCATTTTGTATTTTAGGGAAGGGTCTACAGGGTGCTCAGGGTCTCCTACTAGATTGGACTCTTAGGGATCCACCTATTTATAGCTTCCTAAGAGCTGGGATTACAGGCGTGCGTCACCAAACCCAGTCTCAACTGTCATCTCAGCACGCCCCAGGTACAGGGCCAGCACAGTAGGGATCCTTAGCTTAAATAAAGACAAGAGTATCTACCTCCTGATGTTACTGGAAATGCATTCATTTTTGCATAATGGCTCGAATATACTAAGTCATCACTGATTGCTAGCTAAACTTAATTACCATAGACTGATATAAAATGCGAAAAAAAACCCAGAAGAAATAAGGGGAGAAAGGAACAGACAGATAGATAAACAAATGGTATTGATGAAAAGTGTATTTGTCTTTCATTTCCCATAAAAATACTACTCTAACCTAAGGGAAAAAAACAACATGTGCAATGGTTGAGAGGTGGGGCATGAAGAAGGGGATTCTATATTTGGAAGAACTATATATTACACACATTCTATTTTGTGAATGAAAGATTTAAATTAAATATTGATTAAAGAACTAGATGCTGAGGAGATAGCTCAGTGGAATGCATGCTTAGCAGGCGCAAGGTCCTGAGTTCAATCTCTGGTACCACAAAAAAAAAAAAAAAAAGAACCTAATAATAATAATTCTTTGGTGTGACTTGAGTAATTTTAACCTATTCACAAATTTATCAAGAATATGGATAAACAGCACATAAAAATGCCAACAGAAATAACTAAAATACATAAAAACATTAAACTATCTCTCAGGTAGAAAAAGAGTACCTTTAATGTGGCCACGGCCCAGCTTCTTTCCTGGTCTATCCAGGATGGAATTTGATCGCGTATTCTCTGTTGAGAATCCTTTAATAAAAGCAGTGATTTTTCTGAGCATACATGGTAAGACATAAAGTTTAAAAATAGCAATCAACGGGGCCAGGGAGATGCCTCAGTAGAATCAGCACTTCCCTGGCAAGCTCAAGGGCCTGAGTTCAGTCCCCAGTTCCACAAAAAAAAAAAAAAAAAAAAAAAAAAATCAATCAGCTATTTTATGAACACTATTTTGAAAAAATACCCATTCTATGTATTATTTCTTCATATTTTACAAGTTAGCACAAAAAATAATGTATTAAGAGGACCACTTAGACAAATGATGAATTCACTCACTGTAAATAATCTTTCACAAAAGCTTGAGATAAATTTAAATGTCAAAAGAAATTGTCATAAAACCACATTATTCTCAATAATGTCCTGCATTTCAGATATGCTTGAGGTTCCCTGTCTTATTTTTAGTCTACTGATTAAAGAATATCCATTACTTATTCAAATAAAAAGTACTAAAAAGATGAATTAGAAAAAAGTTATCAGAAGCTTTACGGTAATTTTTAAACTTACATTATATATAATTTATCCTATTTATTATAAAATGTTGGATTTTTTTCCTATAGACAAAGAATTTTTCTTGAAGCAAAATACACATATAAAGAAAAATTAACTATATTAATCTCCTGATATTTAATATTATTCTCAAAAGAATGTTGGTCTTCAAAATCATAAAACATTCTAAATTCACTTTATGGGAGGGCAAGAGAGGCCAGGACATATGTCTCTAGCTAAAGTATAATTTAAATAATAATTTTAAACTCATTTGAAACAAAATACACCTCACAAAGCTAAACTAGGACCCTTTTCTTTGAATAAGATAGTGACATTTTATTTTAACTTACAGCTTTCCGCAGCATATCTCCAACAACCACACCTGTAAATGTGTCCCATTCCTATCAAATAAAAACATGAAGAACACAAAAATATAAACATAATAACAAAGTTATTTTAAATTGTCTTATATAATGGCTTATAATGCAACTCTCTAAGACTTTCACATCTTTAACAATATAAGAATGTCAAGAGCCAATGCAAAGTATTAATGAAAACTACTAGAAATAATTTTATTAAAATAAAAGTCATTTGTAGGAAAATGAATGCGCCTTCAGACTACAATGCTAAGTTAAACAGACACAAAAACTTCAGTATCAGATGGTTTCGCTGAGAACTCCGAAGTACAAATGATTTAAAGAGTAAATAAAATATATCTGACAGGAGCAAGAGAGGGAGGCCACTTTCAGATGGGAAGGGGAGCGAGAGATGAAGAGAAAGGGACGGAGGGAGAAGCAGACGCAGCGCAGCGCGCGCACCCGAGTCGCCATGAGCACTGTGCTCATCACGAATGAGAACATGCACGGTACACTCCTAACATTTTAAAAGTACATATAACTACCTACATATGTGAGTTTCAGCACCTAAAATTTAAATTTCTACTTCAATTAACATTTCTTTCTACCTGTTAATTTGTTCTTTTATATGATATTTCTAATAGATAAGCAATAAGGCCTATAAAAATTTAAACATTGTGTATACTAGTTAAAATTAAACTTAACTACCTTTCTTTAAGAGTGGGATAAGATTGCCATTAATCTTTAATTTTTTTAATTTTAAAGAGAGTACAAATCAGAATTAAAACAAAAATGACAAGTGATACAGAATTTCACTGAACGATGTACTATGAATTTCACAGTATAGTGTTGTCTTACAACCAGTTATAGGAGTCCTACAAATTAGATAATAACAGGTAAAATCACGCTATTTGTCATTCACTAACCAACAAAAAAAAAATTGAGAGTAATATGGAAAAACTACCAAAGTAATATGCTTTCTGCTTTTATATCTACTCTTTCTATGATAACTATGAAGCCACATAAAATTAAAATGGGTAAGATGACTACCAAAATTTATGAGAAAAATGTTTTCCTTCCCTAGTGGTAGTTTATTTATATCTTAGGATCAAAAAATAATGAACATAAGGTCTTATATTACATAAAAGATATTGACCAGGGTGAAAAGAACTGTACAGGAGAAGGAAAAGACATGAAAGTTAACACAATTCAAAGGAGTCAAGTTAATAAATCCAGGGACAACTCTACAAGTGAACCATGTCTAAAGGCTTTCGAAGGGTCAACAAGATAGCTCAGTGGACTAAGCACCTGCTTAAGCAAGCGAAGGGACCAGGGTTCAATCCCTAGCACCCCATGCCATGCTGGCCCCATCCCCCAGTGAGCCAAGACAGCTACCAAGCGCTGGGGAGGCCGAGACAGGAAGATCACTTATGAGCCCAAGTTGCACAGTGAGACCCTATGCCAAATACATCAATGTAAAAAAATAATAATAATTTTAAAAAGGAGCTGGGGAAAACAGCACAGGCAGAACTGCAAGCAGTCTTCCTTCCCAAGAGAAGGGAACTCAGAAGATGGTCAGAATCTGACCAAGGAGCGGCAAAGGTTACCAGGGCAAAGTGCATGGCATTTGCTTCCTGGCTGCCACACTCTTACTCTATGATAGTTACATAATAATGAGGAAAAACACTTAGAAACATTTTTTTTTTTAATTATAAGCAGAGCAGAGATGAATTCTAGCTCAAGGGAGGCTCTTCTCAAGTTTCAGAGAGTCATGTGGAAGACCAAATGCAAGGTCACAGACAAGAAGATAACTGATACATGAAGCAATCAGTATCCCAAGTCCCAGAGACCTAGCCACTGACTCGCCTCCAGTGCAGGTTCTTGACAAGTCAGACAATAAACTGCTTCGCGGTTTCCATTCATCAGTTCCACTACCTAGGCCAGGAAAAGAAGAGGGCCTCTTCCAGCATACTGAGTAACAACAGGCCGAGGCTTGGATCATTTGGGCAGCCTGTTAAGTTATGTAAGCATTCGCCCTCTTCACCCTCACCCTGACATGTGGAGTTCTCCAAGGGTGACAGAGAACTAGGAAACAGCATTTTACTCTAAATTTCTACCTAAAATAAGAGATTAATAGTTTATATATGATTTATAACTTAAAGGAACTGTTGTTAATCTACCTAAAAGTACAGCTATCATCAAATTTCCATATAACTCTAGAATTTTTTCCTTGAATTCAACTTACATTTTCTTGAAAAATTTCAGGATGCATGCCTCGAACAAAATGCAAAGCAAACATCAGCTGGTCAGCCTGAAAAGAGTAACAGGTGTTAATAGGTATTTGGAAAAGCATAGTCTAAATCTTGGCTCAGAAAAGTCTGTTTGCTGTCCTCAAACTGCCTGTTTTCATCAGCATTCAAAATGGTCACCTACACAGAACACACAAAGCAGTAAAGTTTTCAGAGAAGTACTAATGATGTGGGGTTTTTTTGTTGTTTTTTGCAAACTTCTTTTATTTTGTTGTTTTTTGCAAACTTCTTTTATTATTTTTATTTTTAAAGAATGCAAAATAGTGACAGAAAAAAAGTATTTGAAACAACACAAAATTTCACTAAACACAGTAATAGGAATTTAGCAATGTTCGCTGTATTATATGATGCTATCTTCAAATTAGTTGTTCTGATTACCAGACATAAACGTGTAAGATTCATTTAAAGAAAAAACAACACCAAAGAAATTCAAAAGAGGAAAAAAAAAAGATCTAAAAAAAAATCGTTTTAAGCATTAACTGCTCCTTTCAAAAGACCAGCAGAAATCGACAACACATTTATCCAAACCATTCTGCATATATACCTACACATACCCGTCTTCCCTTCTTTCCTTTGTCCTTTTCCTCATCCCAGTTTTACTAGCAATGGGTTTGAGAGCTAGGGGAGGGGCCCAACTTTGAAAAGCAGGTTTACGTAAACTCCTCATATATTTCCTGAACTCTTGCCTGTGCATTTCACTAAAAAACAAAATGCAATTAACATACTGAGCCAGACAAAATCCAACCATGAGATCTCAGTCAGTTATTACTAATCAGATCGACTTCACACATTAGCAATCTTCGATTTGTCACTGTGTGGATATAAGCAGACAGGGGACTTCCTGCAATTATCACAGCTGCAATATTTTCTCTTTTCCAGATATTTACTAGCATTCCTAAATTAAATAAGAAATTGTACTGGACTATTTGCTTTCTATATTGAAGTCTTACCAATCAATGATGACCAATGGATACATAGGTGGATGGGTTACTACGTACAAAAGAGCAGCAAAGTGGAAACACGAAACACAAGTAGCTGAGATTATGTAACACAGAGGAAGCTACAGACAACATGTTACAGGTAAAACAAACGCATAACCAAAATGCAGGCTATGTTGTGCTTGGCACAGTTTTAAAGTGCACATTTACTGATGAGACTCCAAAGGAGTCTCTAAGCAACAGAATTAACTCTACTGTTCATATGGCAAGAGTCTATGCCAACATGCTTTGCAAAGCCAGGCCCCTAACATACATCTCAAACACATCAGTGTATAAAGTATCAATGAAATGCAAAGCACAGTTACCAACATGAGAGAATAATCTACTAAGAGCAAGCATCAGGAACTTCAAATGTAGGACAGTCTCCAAGAGCTCTGCAGATTAAAGAGCTGAGACCTTACGAGGGGACTCACACACCTCAGAAGGACACAATAGTTCTTCTTTTAATAATCAATCTATCAATCTATCTGTCAGTCTATCTATCTGGTACAAAGTCCTCCTATGCAGCTTGGACCCATAATGATCCTATTTCAACCTCCCAAATGCTAAAATTATAGGTGTGCGCCACCATGCCTGGTTTCAGAGTCCCCACCTTGTGACCAGGGTTCTAGGGCCAGCCTAGCACATGGTACCAGGAATCAAACGCAGGTCTTTACACTTGCCAGGCAGGCACTTAAGACTGCCCAGCTATCTCCTCAGCCTGTAAACAGTGTTTCTGAAAAGGGATGATGGAATAAAGTGGGAAGAACTTTTAGAAAAAAATAAGGTGCGTGCATGGGACAGCTTCTGGCGACCCTGTGCCGGCAGGACATGCTGGTCCCAGCCAAGGCACAGTGTGGTTGAGACCCTCTTGCACCCCCTTGGGACAACCGCCACCACTCCACAGCACCTCCCCCACCCCACGCGCCCAGTAGGAATTTAAGCCATGTTCTGGGAACCCCCATATCCATTCCTAGCCAAGCGCCAGTGAGTGTGTGGGAGAGCTTCCTGCTACCCTGCGACCACGGGACCTCCGGTCCCAGCCCAAGCACACCTTCGGTAACACCCTCTTCCACCCCCTAGGGAAAGTCCCACCACTCTGCAGCACCCCCTACCCCACGCACCGAGTAGGAATTTCGGCTTCAATCCAGGAACCCCCAGATCCAGTTCAAGCTCAAACCCAGTGTGTGGAAGAGCTGCCTCTCCCCCTTACTCCACCTTCTTCCCCCCAGACTCAACTCAGGCCTGGCATACAGCACTAGGGTAAAACCTTGTAGCTGCAATCCCTGCAGAGAGTGTAGGGGACAGAACCACCCAGCTAGTACAGGAGCACAACATCATGCCAGAGGGGTACAACAGGTTCACCCCCAAGGGCAGCAGCAGGAAGGAACTGAGCACAGCAGCCAGACC